CAGTAATGTCTTATGTATAGCCTTCAAGCAAGAATAATTATAGTTCGCAGCCTTAAGAAGTGTCAACTTCCATACAAGTTTGATCAGCACAGGAAATGTAGTTTAACATGATCATTTAGAAAATGTAGGACACTTGCAGCATCCAAAACCTTGTTGTAGTCTATAAACTCGGTGTCTTTATTCCATTTCAAAATTCTTATCCTCAAAGTGAAAAAAAAATTATAATTACAAGTTTTTAAGAAACCATCTCTTTTGAGTCACTTGGGAGTTAGAAATTATTTTGTGAACTTATCATAAGCAGAACTGCATGTATACGCATATACCCAACTACATATATATGCATAAATGATTTTTTAAACCAACTTAAAAATGAAGAGGGAGTTCAGCCACAAGCTTGCTTTTTGAAAATTACACATTTTTTTATGCCGCCGTAATCGGGGACATTTAGTTTTTGCCCTGTCCGTCCGTCTGTCTGTCTGTTTGTCCGCAAAAACTTTAACCTTGCCCATAACTTTTGATTGGTTGGAATTATGGCTTTCATATTTCACATGTATATTCCTTGCGACAAGACCTATCTTTGGGTACCATCATATTTGACCTTTTGGCCTTGACCTTGGAGTTTGCATAACTTTTGAACAGTTAATGCTATGGCTTTCATACTTTACATATGTAATCCTTGTGACAAGACCTTACTTTGGATACCAACAACTTGGACCTTTTGACCCTGACCTTGGAGGTTGACCTACTTTTGAAAAACTTTAACCTTGGCATTTACTTTTGAACAGTTGGTGCTAGGGCTTTTACATTTGTAATTCTTGTGACAAGACCTTACTTTGGATAGCAACAACTTTGACCTTTTGATCTTGGAGGTTGGCCTACTTTTGAAAAACTTTAACCTTGGCCATAAATATAGTAACTTTTGAATGGTCGGTGCTTTCATATTTCATGTGTATTTCTTGTGAGAAGGCCTTTCCATGGGCACCATTAATTTTGACCATGACCTTGATGTTTGACTCACTTTTGAAAAACTTTAACCTTTTCCATATCTTTTCAATGGTTGCCGCTAGGGCTTTCATATTTCATAGGTATATTCTTCGAGACAAAACTACCAACATATTTGATATGCATTTGAGAAATACTAAACAAAGAAAAACTGGAGACCAACACCTTGAGGTTAAAATTGTGGAAGATTCTCACGTTGGATACCGAAAAGTATTCAATAGGGTCTGTACCTACAGTTGTAAACTTAAAGATATAAAACAGATCACCAAAACTTAGTGAGAATGCAGCAGTTAATTTATTTTGTTGACCGGTTTCGAGCAGAGGTGGTCGTCATCAGAACAATCAAGCACGTAAATTTATCTATCGAAGTAAAAAATTTTCTCTGGTTGAAACCGGTCAACAAAATAAATTTACTGCTCACGAAGTGTTGGTGATCTGTTTTATATCTTTAAGTTTGCAATTCAGAAAGTTTAACCTTTGCTATAAGTTGCCATACGGGGTCATCAGTGTTTCACAAACACATCTTCTTTTTTTAAGACCATACTAGATTTTGACCCGTGCGTGCACGGGTTGACATTGTTATGAATACATCCATGTGCATATCGGACATTTACAAAATAGATACATCGACACATTCATATTGTAAGGATATTTGAAATAAACAATGAATGTTAATATAATTCTGTTTTTTTTTGTGTTTGTTTTGTTTTGGTTTTTGTTTTTTTTTAAATTGTTGCGTAACGGCGTAGCGCAGAATGGGTTTGACCACCAGTTAGCTATAAATCAAGTCTTGAGTTCGAATCACTCCGGAGCTTACATAAATTTCACCTTTCCAAACAAATTTAACAAAAGATATTATGGATCGATGTTCATCGAAAATATGACAACAGCAGAGTTGAGCACACTGCTGATACATATCAAGCAAAGTAATGAAAATGAAGAATTGTGCTAAGCTGGTATTTTTACACAATCAGTTATTAAAGAAAAGGTGTAAAAATTTTAACACTGCAGGTCTCAACTTTTTCAAAATATGACCTCAACAATAAAAGAGTTAAGCACTGCTAATACATATACTTTATATATACACAGGTAATAGACAGGTATATAATCTGTAAAAGACTGTCTGTTTTGATAAAAATTACTGTAATATCCTTGAATTAGTACATAGAAAAAGTAATAAAAATAGAAGCTTAATTGAGAAAAAATAAAAACAAATTGTTAATCTTCAAGTACCAATGATGTTTAAAATACATAAAACAAAAGACAGTATTCTTCCGATTTATCGGTATTAAAGGCCAAAAATTCGAGTCTATAATTTTTATATAGTAGTTATTGTAATTTTTGGCGGAAAAAGAATGCCTACTTCACTAAGATGTGATTCTAACTGAAGTTGTAACACCCCCCCCCCCTCCCCTTCAGTTCCCCTCAAAAAAGCATAAAAGAAAGGAGGGATAAAATAAATCGGGTAGTTACATTAATGTTGCTCCTACGATCATGAGCTTTTTGCCTCCGTTGAGATGGCTAGAGATAAAAATAACATATAATAAATGTGTCTCCGAGATGGCGAATGATTACCCACGTGGCCACAATATCACATTTGTATGGATATAAACTCAGAAACGATTACGATAATACAAACATATAGACGTCAGAAGCAAATTGAAAGTGGGGTGGCTGTTTGATAGTGGGGGGGGGGGGCTAAACCAACGAAAAAAGGTAAGCCCGAGTTTTCAATGCCTATATTATGCCTATCTTTGCAAAAAAAAAGTGGGGGGGGGGGGTAAGCCCCCCTAGCCCCCCCCCCCCGGTTCCGACGCCTATGACAAATACGTGTAAATTTTCATTGGAAATTTGCTACATATTCTGTTCATATACATTAATGATTTCTTATTAGAGAAATTATACAATAACAAATATATATCTACTTAGTATATACTTTTGTCTTCTCTGATTTGAACACACTCTCGACCAACGGCTCATACATTACAAGCTTATCTTTTAAAAAGATTGGTGAGCTAGCGCTGTAGCATAATAAAATACAGAAGAAGATATCTGAACCATTTGTCAAATTTGCTGAATCGATTAATTATTAATAGGAAGGCAGATTGGTGCACTGGGGGTTGAGTTTGGGGGGGGGGGGTCACAATTCAGAATGGTGAATCTAAGAGCGTACCTCACGTCGGCAATGGCATAACTCCTAACTGTGCTTTAAGCATTCTGAATTTTATTGTAATTTCAATTTCGAGGTGAAAAAATAAAAGGTCAGTAGAACCAATTAGCACCTTAATTTGGGCCTTTCCGGCAAGCTCGGAAAACATATCCGAGGTTGCCGCGGTTTTCCGAGCTTGCCGGAAAGATCCATGAAGGTAGATTAGAAAAGCTATGTATACATTACTGCTTTATAAATAACAGTCTTGGTTTTATAAGACCCGAGTTACTGTTACTTTTTGTTCATTTACGTGCAGGTTAGACAACAAAACACGAAACTTCAGATCATATGTATTTTCAGATGATAAACACTAAATTGACATGTCTTTCCGACATACTCTGAAAAAGATTGTTGTGGTTGTTGTTGTTGTTTTTTCCGAGCTTGCCGGAATTATCCACTAAAGTTGTAAAACTGTAAGGAAAGCTAGATGTCTAGAATCTTGGCATTATATGGCCAAATTTTTTCCTGTACTTTTATGTGTAGGTTAGACAATAAATTAAAAAAAAGAATCAGAATCCGGATCTAGACTGGTACTGACTCTCTCTAACCTACGAAATGTATTTCGCGCATATCAGACAGGAAAGGCCAGTGTAAATTCGGATCTTTTCTATTTTTGTATGACAAAACGAAATTCTTATCGTACAGTCTATCTACAGTAGTTTTCCCAGAATCCCCGACCGTGAAATCGAGCATGCGTATTTCAGAAATATAGACTAACGTAGTTGCTAGCGCTCGAGAGCGCTAGCAATAAGAGAGAAACGAACGACAACTCTGCAAGGGAGATTGATTTGAATACCGTGATTTAGCGTGAATGTAATGCGCACGCGCAAGATTGTAAAATCCAAAAAATCCAGATGATTTCCGGAATTTTTTGAGGAATTTTCGTTGATTATTCATTAGCGAAGCTTAATTGAGAAAAAATAAAAACAAATTGGTAATCTTCAAGTACCAGTGATGTTTAAAATATATCAAATAAAAGACGGTACTCTTCCGATTTATCGGTATTAAAGGCCAAAAATTCGAGTCTATTATTTTAATATAGTAGTATAGATAAGGTTCCTTGACATTGGTCCTCATTACACATCTTGAACGTAACCAATCATCTGTGATTTTTTTTTGGGGGGGGGGGGGAGGGGGGGAGGGGGGGTGTTTCTCTTTTTTCATATAAATTTCCTTCTTTGTAAGTTTTTTGTTTTTATTTGTTTAATGTGTTTTTATTTTATGGTTTGTTTGTTTTGTTTTTGTTGCTGTTGTTTTTCTCTAAAATTCAGAAATGATGACAAGAAAGTGTTAAGGACAGAGTGGAGTAACAACAACAAGCTTTCTGAGAGTATTACTTAAGTTATACTAGCCCCCTACCAACAAGTGTAATCTGGTTCCCCTTAAAAATAAAAAAGTACGTAATTCTGTTAAAAATAATTGATGGGAAATGAAATGCAAACTTGATCTGTAACTCATCAAGACAGACTCACATACCCAAAAAATTAGCTCAATATCTGCAAGCATGTAGAAAAGAAGTGTGGAAAACCAAGTGGGCCAGACAGAAGATAAAGGGACAGACAGAAGAAGGGACAGACAAATGGACAGGTGAGGGGGAAACCATGTCATTTAAGAAATAAATAACAAGTTTAAAAACTTCTCTGGGAAATGAAGTGGGTCGGTCACGTGATCAAATCCTGTGAAGGCCGAAGTAAATAACATAGTCCTATGAAGATATTTGCTCTCTGTATGTTTATATAAGAGAGAGATACTCAGTACCACAAATGTATATATTTTAATATGAAACCTATTGAATTATGAAATTATATACAAATTTTATTATAAATAGTGAATACAAAAAAAAATTATAACATGGCACCACAAGAACACAAAGAAAATGATTATTACCAAGATTACAGGAATTGTCAAAAAGGGAGTTGTTGGATATTTATGATGTGGCTGTAAAACATTTAAAAACAGATTTCACTTTGGAAGTGCACTAATTCAATAAAATATTATCACAGACAAAAGAAAAATTATCAAATAGATTAAATCAAACAAGTAATTTTTCTGCAATCATTCTCAATTCATCTGTTTACGCCTCACATACATGCTATACATGAAGAAATCTATCATGTGACTCTGTTTGTTCAGATTTAATTTTTTCAACTACTTTTTTCACAAAGTCCTCCAAACTTAAGGCAGCTGATAAGTCCCCTGATACCTTAAGTCTCCCACTCATGTAGGCCTGTAGGGGCTTTGTGTTCCCCACAAACATGTTCTGCATATCTGACACAGACAAGGTCAAAGTCACATCAGGTTCACCACCAGGGGGCAGGCCTTCCCCAGCACTTCCACTTCCTGGAAAAAAACATATAAATCCTTATTATTCCTAAATATTGATACAATTAATTATAAATAAAATATATACTTAATCAAAAGGGATTTTAAACAAATTTATCACAAATAATTATAGGGAACAATTTGAATTTTCATTCCCAATGAAAAATTCAGAAATTTATAATTTCTGTTTATAATTCAGTGCATACTGGTATTTTTGTCCATTATTCTATTCTATTGCCTTACCATTCTTGAGATCTAGATAAAAGAGTCCACCATTTTCTCCATCCAGCTGGAACAAGTAGACATTACCATTCTGCCTAACGGTCACTTCATTGATCAGTCGCCCAGCAGCCCTGATGACCTCCCTTGGAGATGGGGCATCCTCAACACTACCTGCAGCGCCATCTGGGGAGAGGGCCATAACAGTAGGGAGTGTTGGAGGTTCAGGGGTAGCCCCTTGCTGCTCCTCACCAGACTTATTGTCACTGGAGTCTGAAAAATACATTTGAAGACATTCGCATATGCAATATAGTAAAATACGTTAGTGGTAAACATTATAGAGCTATGGTGAAATCCTTGTTATGATAGAATTTGACACTTCTGAAACATTATGACCTTGACCTTGTCTCATTGACTTTTGTTCAGGTTCATGATGTATCCGAAGATCATCAACAAAGCTGATTTTAAATAAAGTATGATCTTAAGTTACTGAATTCAAAATGATGCGGTGGACAAGAATTTTACACATCAAATCCACAGTGACCTTGATTTTGTCTAAATGATCATCATGCAGTGTTGTTAAAACCTTCTGGACATAAGAAACTTTTGTGACTTGGTATCATCTAATTTTTTCTCCACGTCAAAGCTATTATCAAGGCAAAAATAAAATTTTACTCATCAATTTAACAAGAGGCCTATGGGCCTTAACATTCACCTGAATATCAGGTGTTTTTCAGGCTATGACTACTATGGGTCCACCTGGAACTGCCTTAGACCTATATCAATACATTTAACAGTTTGATGAGAAGTTTATAATCATTATCAAATTTAGCTTGTCCCCTATAAATTCATGAGGAAACGAAATAAACGGGTACAAGTGATTTCGGCACCTGGTGAATTCGGCACCTAATGAAAAAGTGAATTCGGCACCTGGTGAATTCGGCATCAGAATCTGGTAAATTCGGCATCGGAATCTGGTGAATTCAGCACTTATTTGTGTTAATTCGGTAACCGTGTAATTGTTGAGTGTTTTGTTAAAATTTTTCATGTGATTAATTGGTTAATTGCTTTTAAAGGGAACAAGAGGCCCATGGGCCACATCGCTCACCTGAGTAACTTGGGCCATGCTGTTCATTACCAAACTTCCCCCCTTGTAATACCTATTGTGGCCCCGCCCTACACCCAGGGGCCATGATTTGAGCAATTTAGAATCTACACTACCCCAGGATGCTTCCACATAAGTTTCAGTTTTTCTGGTCCAGTGGTTCTTGAGAAGATTTTTAAAGATTTTTCCTATATATTTCAATGTAAAACTTGGGATTCCCTATTGTGCCCCCCCCCCCCATCCCCGGGGTCATGATTTGAATAATTTAGAGTGTACACTACTTGAGGATGTTTCCACGTAAGTTTCAGCTTTTCTGGCTCAGTGGTTCTTGAAAAGAAGATTTTTAAAGATTTTTCCTATATATTTCAATGTAAAACTTGTATTCCCTATTATGGCCCCGCCCTACCCTCGGGGGTCATGATTTTAATAATTTAGAATCTACACTACCCCAGGATGCTTCCACATAAGTTTCAGCTTTTCTGGCTCAATGGTTCTTGAGAAGAAGATTTTTAAAGATTTTTCCTATATATTTCAATGTAAAACTTGTACTTCCTATTGCGGCCCCGCCCTACCCCCGGGGGTCATGATTTTAACAATTTAGAATCTACACTATCCCAGGATGCTTCAATATAAGTTTCAGCTTTTCTGGCCCAGTGGTTCTTGAGAAGAAGATTTTTTTATGACCCCACCCTATTTTTGTCTTTTCTTGATTATCTCCCCTTGTAAGGGGACTTGGCCCTTTATTTTAACAATTTAAACTCCCCTTCCCCCAAGGAACTTTGTACCAAGTTTGGTTAAAATTGGCCCAGTGGTTCTTGAGAAGAAGTTGAAAATGTGAAAAGTTTACAGACGGACGGACAGACGGACAGACGGACGGACGACGGACAACGGGTGATCAGAAAAGCTCACTTGAGCTTTCAGCTCAGGTGAGCTAAAAAAAGGTGTTTCAATTTTTTTTTAACGAATAAAGTAATTTTTTAAAACAAAAATGCGTGTTTGTAAAGTATAGATCTAATGATTTAAAGTTCATCTGTGGAAAACTCAATTAGAAATACTGTAAGTTTAAGACTATAATTCGTACTGAAACGTACAAAATTGAATTATCAGTTTATAAATATATACTAAAATCTCTCTCAGTCTCGCTAAATTTTTGCGGGTATAGAAAAGTTAAAGCTAAAGAACGAAGCATATAATACTAGTAATTATCTTAAGTGGAAAATTTTATTATTCTAGTTGTAGTCTTTATATTTGATCGTTCTGTATTAAATAATATGCATCTGAAGCAACACCGATCTTGATTTTTTGTAACATATTTTAGTGGAAAATAGAAGAAAATTTAATGGAAGTTTATTTTCAGAATAACCCGCTGTCCTTCGCTTGACAAAAAATGTATATAACCAAGTTTTGAAAAAAAAAGCTTGTCCATAATAATTGTACTACATGTATTCAAAATTGTAATTTTTTTTATGCCAGTGTGTTGAAATGCTTAAGCGAAAAATTGGATTATAAAGCAACGAATTTTTTACCAGGGAAGACATAATATTGTTTTTCAAGTAGATAATTTTATCAAATGTCCTTTTTGAAATATATATTCACAGCCCATAATTCACAATTATTTACAGACACCATACCAACAAAATTGTCTCACTCAAAAAAATAACTCTCATTACTATAATTTAATTTGGGAATGTATTTGCATTAAAAAAATCTTTTCAACTTTGGGACAACATTAATAAACATTAATATAAATCCTTAGACGAGAATTAAAAATTTTATATTGTTGAAAATTTAGAACTGTACCGAAACTACATACCAAATTCGTACCATACCAAAAATCATAGTATATTTTACTTCATAAACTAAAAATGTACTTTTTTTTTTAATTACCACTGCAGCCATTAGTTGGCGTAAAAGAGTTTTATCTTATTATAATGTTCAACATTCAGTGGTAAAATATCGATGGTCATTTAACATGTGCGTTGCATAATATTTGCAACCTTAATTACACAACTTCCTGTAGATTCCTAACAAGCCTGCTGCTTTGAAAGGAATTTTTATTGTACTGGAGTCGTTATATCAATTTCTTATAGACGTATCAAGTAAAAATATAGAGCATGATGCTGTACAAGCAAATCATTAATAAATAAATAAATAAAGATCAATGGTAACTTTTTCATCTCCGTAACAGTCATTTCCCTAACATGTACCCAAATTTATTTTGTACGTTTACAACATCTCATACAAACATAACATTATTTAAGAAAAAAAACATATTTTCGGTATATTAAGAATGTTTAAACCATGTACAGCTTTTAGATCTGAAACAAACACGCTCGAAGAATATCACGAAAACGGGAGTTTACTCGGAGCTATGTATATATATATATATATATATATATATATATATATATATATATATATATATATATATATATATATATATATATATATATATATATATGCTGTAATTAGATCCTCATTTGAACGATTTAACATTTTTTTTTTCCTTTATATTGAATTAAATTCAATTGACTTTAAAGATCTTACTTTTTTTCAATTATGGACTACAAATTTTGATGAACAATTCAAAATAGCACTAAAAAATCCAGATAAAAAAATCTAAATTGAAATACTAGTAGTAAGGGAGAAAGGGGTAAGGTTTTGCCGTACGGCATTGATAATTAAACCAATAACTTGCGCATTGCTAGGTAAAACTTGCTCATAATAGGGTAAAATGTTTCTATAAAATGGTCCTGCTCCAAACATATTCATAAAGCACATAGAAAGGGGGACCTGCTCTCTCCCGGCCTTCCCTTTTTTTCCAAGAAGAGTCTATTGCTGTAAACACAGGAATTCGCATACCTATCAATTTTTCTGAAATTTTCAGTAAATATAAAAAATACGTAATACCTATAATAATAATATGATATTATTATAGGTATTACATATTTTTTATATTTACTGAAAATTTCGGTAAAATTGATAGGTATGCGAACTCCTGTGCTGTAAATTTTGATTGAATTTTTTTAAATTCAATTTTTGGTGTACAGTATGGTCAAACACTCCTAATGTCCAAATAATATACATGTGTTAAAAATTAGAACAAAAGTGGAATTGATCACAATCCCCCCCTTTTTTTTCTATTTCGGAAAAGATAACATATGTCTGTTAATAATTGTAATGCTCTTTCCTTTAAATATATCATATATACTTTATATGTTACTTACTAGATAGAAAATTAGACAGCCGTTTTAGTGTTCAGATCTACAGTTTTTTTTTCCCCAAAAGGGGGAGGGGTGGGGGGATCCAAGCCCACTCAAAAATTAAAAAAAAATGAGATATACAATTCAACCTAAGGAAATTGACAAGCAAAAAGTTTAAGAATTCTGTCTGAAAAACCTTTCTTTCGTGGCAGAGACAAGGCAGGGGGGCGTGTCTTCTCTTACCTGTATAACTATGAAAATCCAAAGTTGGGGGGGGGGGGGTGTCGGACAAATCTCCATTCAACATCCGATGTTTTGAAGTCATGAAGTCATTGTAAGGGGGGGGGAGGGGGGGGGACAAATCTCCATTTAAGATCCGATGTTTTGAATATTGCCTGTTGGTTGTATTTTCTTTAGCTTATGCACTACTGCGCTTCAAGAAAAAAAATGTCAAAGGTTATATATACTTCAGCTTTTCTAGATATTATTTAAGTCTAAGTATACATGTAGGCTACAAAAATCCCCAAAGACTCATTATGCTTTGAAAAGGATTTGATGTACAGATGGTAAAAGTTCTTTCATTTCAATAAAGAAAAATAATTTTCATTTCCTTCGTATAGTATACTAAATGTTGTGTTTCACATGCTGTTTGAGATGTAATGAATATAATTTAGGCAGCACAATTTTGTTGAATTTCTCTTTCCTTATGGAAAAGAAATTATTTTTCAAATAGCGGCCGGTGCATTTTTTTAGTTTATAACCGGTCCATACATACCAAACTCTGATAGCAACCGTAACATGAGAAGATCTTGGTTTCGTCCAGAAATCTCTTTCAAATACTCTTTAAAAAATATTTTTATTATATTTACGTATATTTAAGTGCACAAGGATTAATCAGAGACTTAAACGAATTGGGGTCACTTTTTGACAGTTTTACAATTCCAAGTGTCTCCAATATATTTATATCAGCTAGCAGTCGTTCCTTTTTGGAATAGAAACATTGAACGCATTTTTGTTCCAGTAGCAACCGTTTATGTACTACACCGTGAAAATGAAAGAAAACTGTTTGATAAAGATAATTATCTAAAACATCTTCAAAAATTATTAGTATTTATTATATTCTTAATAATTGAAAACCTGGTGCCAAATTAACTAGATGCCGAGTGCACCAGGTGCCGAATTGACTAGGTACCGAATATACCACGTGCCGAATTCACTTTACTTGGTGCCTAATAAACCAGGTGCCGAGTTTACCAGGTGCCGAATTGACTAGAATTCAAATAAACAATGAATAATAAATTTCAATATATGACCCCCCCCCCCTACAATTTTTAAGATTTTGTCCAATTCTTATGACAAACCATTGATCACCCATTGTGTACCCATTCTCCCCCACAGCCATGATTGGAACAAACTTAAGTCTGCATTACTTAAGGAACTAGGCTGGCATATCATGACCCTGCTGTTCTTGAGAAGAATTTTGGAAGATTTTTCCTACATATTCCCATGTAAATTTTATCTCTTATTGTGGCCCAAACCCATCCTCAGGGGTCATGATTTGAACCAACTTGAATCTGCACTACCTGAGGATGCCTCCATATTAATATGACTAATATTGCTCTGCTGTTCTTGATAAGAAGATTTTTGATGATTTTTTTCCCATATATTCATACATAAAATTTTGATCCCTAATTGTGGCCCCACTCTCACCAGGTGATTGGAGCAAGTTTGAATCTCATTACCTAGGGATGCTTCCATATTAATATAATAAATCATGGCTTTGCTTTTCTTGAAAAGAAGATTTTTAAAGAATTTTCCTATAAAATCCCTTTAAAACTTTCATCCCTTATTATGGCTCCCAGTGGCCATTATTTGCACTAATTTGAATCTGCATTACCTGAGGATGCTCCCATATCAACATGGCTAATCATGGCTTTGCTTTTTTTGAGAAAATTTTTCCTATATATTCCTATGTAAAACTGATCCCCAATTGTGGCCCTACCCTACCCCTGGTGGTCATGATTTAAACAAACTTGAATCTACACTACCTGAGGATGCTTTCATATCAATAGGACTAATCATGGCTTTGCTGTTCTTGAGAAAAAGATATTTAAAGATTTTTTCCTATATATTCCTATGTAAAAATTTGATCTCCCATTGTGGCCCCACCCTACCCCCTAGGGTCATGATTTGAACAAACTTGAATCTGTACTACCTGGGGATGCTTCCATATTAATATATGTATGACCAATCAGGTCTTTGCTGTTCTTGAGAAGATTTTAAAAGATTTCTTACTATATATTTCCAAGTAAACTTAGATCCTCTTCTTTGGCCCCATCCTACCCTTGGGGGCCATGATTTGAATTAACTTGAATCTACACTATGTCAGAAAGCTTTCATATATAAGTTTCATCTCTTCTGGTCCATGGTTCTTTAGAAGATTTTTAAATGACCCCACCCTATTTGTGCCTTTTCTTGATTATCACCCCTTGGAAGGGGGTACTGCCCTTCATTTGAACAAATTTAAATCCCCTTAACCCAAGAATACTCTGTGGCAAGTTTGATTGAAATTGGTCCAGTGGTTCCTGAGAAAAAGTTGAAAATGTAAAAAGTTTACACACAATCACATCTGCACAATGGCACAATGATGGACAAACACAGATAGCAAAAGGTCACCTGAGTGACTCAGGTGACCTAAAAATAACTGATGCATATGTTCAAATGTTATGTATTATTTCTAAAAAGTTTGGGGGAAAAATATTAGATAGTTTCAGCAATAATCTTCAGACAATAAAAAATGTTTATGGACAAAGAACAGGCAGAAAGATTCCAGCATAACACAAAATACATCTACTACCTTTTATATTCTGCATAAACATAGTGGCCAGCTGCTGGAATGTGTTGGGAAGATCCCCTCCAAGACCTAATGCAGCTAGAGGGTCCCTGGGCTCAGGGGCCTGGAGTACTTTTATAAATGGTCTAAAAAATAAGGCTTAGTGTAATTTTTTTTTGATTTGAGAAGAACATCTTTTATATCAAATTGGGTACTGTATTATATATTTTTTGTTTCTGTCTTTAATCATATTTGCAAAATACTTTACTCAAAATACTGCAATAATTAAAACATATAATAGATGGGTAATAAATTTTAATGCAGTAAATACTAAGATATAATGTTCTGTTTGAATATAAATCTATTTACATTTCTATCTTGACAACTTCTACGCCCCATCCACTGGTTGTGGCATTTGTATCCTCCTATCATTACAAAATAAAGATACATTTATATATACAACATGTACACTTTAATATATATATATATATACATGTATATATATTTTACCTTTTTTGCACTCTTATTTTTAAACAACACAAGTAACTATAATATCTACACAAATCAAAGAACATTATAACAATCACTCAATTTGTACCATCAACAATGCAGTGCAAAAAAGTCTTTTGACATGGTACATGTATTTAACACCCAATATATGGATTGTAATAATTTATCCTCCTATTACAATGGGAGTATTACATACCTTTATACCTTACACCCACGGCAGAACACTCACCTGTATTTTAGCGGCTATTATCAGTTTATTTGACTTCATGTCCTCCAAGTCTCTGCGGACAAAGCTATTTTTGAGGGATGCCATCAGAAGTGTACGTAAAGGTGAATTCAGATCCTGAAGACTAAGAACAAATTTTTCCACGTCTACGACTTTATAGAAAACGTCTGCCCCAACCTCTACTACTCCTCTGTCTGATGATATCATCTGTAAGACGAAAACAAGGATTTCATCAGACAAAAAAATTACATCACGGTGTCCAACAAGGGAAATAACTCTTACTTCAAATTTATACAGAGCATTCCTTTGATATTTTTTTTCCATTCATTTACACCAATTAACTTAACACTTTTTATTTAATACTCATGAAAATTTCAATACCTCTAATCTAAAGGGAAAAAAGGTTGACCTATTTACAATTTTATGACATACACTAGAGTTTCAGTGTGAAATGAATGTCCCTGCCAGCATACAAGTTAATACTTGAAAGTCCAAGGATGTGAAAATAAAGAAAAACTTGAACTTGATCTGTTAGTCATATATTAAAAATCTCCTTATCTACAAGCACAGCAAAAAAAGAAAAAAGTCTGGAAAACGGTGTATTATTAGAAATCGTCTGAGTCTAAGAGCAATAACTTTTGTGAAAATTGGTCAATCAACATGAAACTCAAACTTGATCTTTCAGTCATCTACATGTATATAAAATATACCAAAAATCAGCTTGTTATCTATAAGCACAGCAAAACAGTCCAAAATAACTATGATGAAATGAGGGAAGGAAAGAGGTAACTTTAAACACTGGCCATTTTATGGCAGGGGCATAAAAATCATTTCTCTATTAGCATTTTGCCTACATTGCTCACCTGCTGTGGGGGCACATTAAATGCCTTTATCTTCATGTCTACTTTTCTACAGTTATCCACACATGGTAAAATGAAAACTATCCCTGTAAAAAGAATTTGTTACAAAAAGTATCTGGCAATATTATCCCAAGGCAAGGGAAACAAGATTAATAACTGACAACTACAGATACACATGTACCATTGATAAATATACCACTAGTGTGCATACAGGCATAGAGTTATTTCCTCCATGCTATTTACACAATATTCATTACTACTTGCTGTTGTTTTTTTATTTTTAGTGCTTTCCATAGACTGAGAAAACAAATGATTTTTTTCTGAAAAATTGTTCACAAAAAAACTAAATAAAGACAAAACATGCATTATTTCTTACCTGGACCTTTAATCTCCACAAGTCGTCCTAAACGGAATATAGCAATCCTCTCATATTGTCCCAGTTTCTGAAGGAAAATAAAATAATTTTGAAAGTTTTAATATGAAACATTTCAATTTTATCAATATCCTTAGATTTCAGAACTTTCCCTGGATCAGTAATTTTTTTGTATGTACTTGAAATCTTATTCTATCTTATGAACTATGGTATTTAGTAACTGTTAATAGAAATGTAAAGTAATATATTTTTTAAAAAAGAATTTGTCTAAATTTAAATAAAATATATTTGAAATCATTCATAATAAGAGTTACAATACATATAGAATATGCAAGTAGGTCATGCCACATATGACCAATAATTACCACACACAACTTCTATATATATGCATAGATAAGAGATAAATTTATTTGTTCTAATCTACTTCATACATCCCTGGTTTATGTGAAAATAAACAGACAAATTAATTTGATCTGTTTTTATTTTTCCTACTCTGTAATTGTGATCTTTACCCTGAAACAGAACCAGCCACTGACAGGGAAGGTTAGGATCAGGAGTAGGATACAGCAAGCCGTCAGAAACAGGTGGCACACTCGACCAATCAAAGGCTGCTTCACTGTAAACACAAGTAATACATGTGTACTATAATAGCAACAGATGGCTGTTGTTTTTGAAAGCAGAATCAGTATGGATGATTTCCCATTCATCTTCCCAATGCATCTGTCCTACTAAGATATGCGACCTCTAATACATGTATATCTATAGCGCAAATAAACATTTCACGATTTTGTATTAGTCATGATACTGTATCTTACTAGTTTTGGTCCTACTACCTCAAAGTTTTTTGAGAACAATTTCATAAGACATCACCTTACTTGCACTTTCTATTAATTACACTGTATCTCCCCATGGGACATTACGGATCTGTGGTAAGGTGAGTTGCATTATCTCCCCAAGGGAAGGGGCATCATCCTTCATTTCAACAAACCTGAATTCCTTAATTTAATAATAATTTGTGCTGAATTTGGTTGAAAATCCCCCTTAAGTTCTAGAGAAGACACATGGGAAAATTTAACAGAAACACACTGGACAGAAAGACGGACGGTTATAAAACTTCAGGTGAACAAAATATAGACAAGAAAAATTTCTAATATTCGAATACCAATACATAAAATCAAACCAATATTGCAACAATAGATTAACATTGATTTCTAATATGTACCTTTACCTCTTGTGAACTGAACATCTTCAACACAGCGGGATTCTGTAAAGCTAAACGCTGATCTGTATTTGTTAGGGTTGATTGGAGCAAATTGGTTGTCTACACTGGAGTAGCTAAAGGAAGAGGAGAAATCTAGTCGGACATCATCCACTTGGTCTGAAGTAGGCAGTTTCATGTATCGGGCTGACATTGTTGGTTAGCAGAAATGCAACATCTAGAAATATATGGATAAGATATAATTTTTTTAATTATTACAGGGATTTATCAGTCTGATTTGTGAAATACCATTTGTTTTTTTTTTTAATTTGGAAAATTTATCAACATTTTGATGAAATTGGGAAAAAAGAAAATAAGAAGAAGTTTTAAAAATTAAAAAAAACTTGATACTCCCACAGTTTAAAGCATTAATTCTGTTTTTTAGCTACTAAATTTTTTTATATTTTGCTAAAAAAAAATCTTATTCTGATTTCACATTTACATAGAAACAAAAATCCAATTGCAGCAGATCAAGTATCCTGATCAAGATATTAGCAACTGACTTCCATTTTTGCTTTAGAGTCATCACTGAAATCAAAATTCACAAATGATCCTATGGAAATTAAAATATGAATTTTATTATTAAGAAAATGGGATGGGGGTATTGTTTATTGCTGCATGGTAGTGTGAGTTTACATGTTAAATTGACAAGAACAGTTGTATACATTGCCGAACAGATGTAGCATCGACATTTTTTCTGGCAGCTCAACTTGCCAAATAGACAATAGTGTATCTGGTCACACTTTTTCTTATCATAACATTTACAGTATCAATTTTATTTCTTATTTCTTAAATTTGGGCAACCAAATTTTGCATTTGCACATGTCGAAGTTTGAAGGTCAAGGGAATCTGAAAGTTATTATCTACATGTATCCCTGCCCTTCTCCTTCCTTCCCAACCCCAACAAAAAAAAAAACATACCCCTATTCCTACTCTTTACATTGATTGGGCATGATGGGCTTGTCAACTGATTTTCGGACTACTGCACATTGATCTAATAGAATTTTTTCCATAGTGACCTCAGGACCCATAATTCCTTAATAATTGCATCATGCTGTAAACTACATTCTCTCAGTAACAACAAAAGTTTACCAAAAAAAATAAATTCACCTTGATTTAATTGATTTTACACATAAATATCAGTTGTTTAAAATTTGCACTTTTCAGACTTTGTTATTGAAATGCAACTAACATTACGATGTCATGTGACAAGTCACAGTCTATATAGAACTTCCAAATGTCTCATGTGGTTCAAAGAGACAGATCTAAGTTAAAAGTAAATGGGTAACCAGTAATAAATACACAACTGTGCTAGCCCCAACAATTGCATCATCAACATATTTAATAATCATGCATGTTGTATGCTCAAAAGGGAATAAAATTTGGAATTAGAAAATAAATATATTCCAGGATTTTTTTACTTATGACTTTAATTTCATTTTTTTCTTCAAAATCTAAATCGCATGGGCAGTGATTTTTTAAGGGCCGACTTTGGGTTGAACCTCAGCAGAGCAAGCTCTATAGACTAATGTGTAAGAACAGAGGAATTCTGGAATAAAATCTGCATATTCGTCAAGCAAATTTTTATGTGAAACCTTCCCACAATTCTTTTTTCTACTATGATTCCATGTGATAGTGGCAAATATAATAGGCCCCCAGTTATTGTAAAGATTTACTTCTTGTAGAACTTAAAAGACAGGTCTGGTACAATCAGTACATTTAGCTATGTAGCTTGAATTACCTACTCAAAGTAGCTTTATTTAGCTACTAAATCAGACTTAATTCTTAAATGATCATTTTTTCTAGCATATGCAAAAAATTGCAATTTGATGCAGTGATCATGGTGATAGTTCAACTTTGAATGGATAAGAAAACAATTCATGAAAAATCACTTTTCAAGATGTGTTAATCTCCATCAGTTCAATTGCAATCAAAGTTCTAAAAGTTTAGGGCTATATATACATGTACAACAGTTAATTTGTGACCAAATAGTTACTTCTTGAATGAAATAACAAAGAAGACCAGTTCTGGTTAAATGATTATTGACTGGTAGTAATTCAGCACAATTTGAAGTAATCATACTTATCCATGCCTCACTGTACATAAGGTGATGTGCAGTTACTCCAACAATAGAAATACATCTTTTGCTTAAAAGTGTTCAAAAGCAGCAATGTTTCAACTATCTTTGCTCTGGGTTGCTTTTTTAAATTTGATTCTAGTATAAATATTAGTGGTCACATACTTGCAATTTTTTTTGTCTGTTTTTAATAAAAAGCAAAATTGTGAAACTTGCATTAAAATAGCTAAATAAAGCTACTTAAAGAAGCTAAATAAAGTTATGGTAGGTAATTCAAGCTATGTAGCTAAATGTAGTGATTGTACTTGACCTGAAAGAAAGCAAAAAATAATTTCATTCTACTCTACAATGAATTTTATTGAAAAATTGCACCATTTAGACTCTGCTATAGAAATGCAACTAACGTCATGTGACATCACAGTCTAGACTGTACGTGTCTTGTTTGTTTCAAGTTTGAAAAGACCGATCAAAATTACACTGTATGTGTCAGTCAGATGGGCTTAATCGCTGGTGGCCAGTTGGTAGAGCACATGACTGGAGATTCTGGGTGCCCGGGTTCGAATCCTAGTCTGGTCCTTCACATTTTTCTCCTCTCTTATTAGGTTACATTTGGTGCCATGCCCTGGAAGTGACAGGTGAAAGACTAGATAGAACGTCTATCATTAAAATGATATTATCCTACTGACCCGGTTTAACGATAGAATTTGTTCCGTGTATTGGCAATGTAGCAAAATAAACACAGCAGATAACTCGAACTCTGTGCATTTTCTATGAACAATCCAGGGAGTTTCGAATGTCAATATGGCATGTAAATTTGAAGAGAGAAAAAAACGTTGAGAAAATTAGTTGATTTTTCGTATTTACATGTATATGGATTATTTTTTAGGTTTAAAGGCATATACAATCTCAAAAAGGTTTGTTATGATTAATTTGGTAGTTATTTACAGTGCAACTCCTTCTGTATTCTTCAAAATCATTTCGGAGCGGATCCACTCCGATTTGCTACATTGCAAGTTTATGGGATGTATTCTAACTGTGGTGAGGGCTTGTCCCAAGACACATGTACAGTTAGATTATTCTAACTAGCGAAAGACCTGCCAGGGAAGAGCCTGGGTTGGTGTTTTAAGGGGCCGAAGACCTTTAAGGAGGTAGGAATGTGGTGGTCAAACCAGCTCGATCGCTGGTGGCCAGATAATTCAGTTGGTAGAGCACCTGACTGGAGATTCAGGGGGCCGGGTTGGAATCCCGGTCTGATCCGTCGTATTTTTCTCCTCTCAGTTACAAGCGTAAGCTGTGTAAAGATTTCTGATGGAACAGCTGCCCTTGCCCCGACACCATTAAACATATAAGTATAAAGGGGTAGACCTATATATACTAATCATTTCGTCATTTACTAAATTAGATGCCATGGGGAGTGCCTACGAACACATCAAGAGATCAATATGAGTTTAACATACCTCTTAGTTTTAAGGATTCCCCATTCTGTTTGCAAAAAAATGATATTCAAGCTTCAAAAATAAAAAGTTAAATGTAAACTTAGAAAAGAGTATGCATATCAATATCCTAAAATGGCTAAATTTCGAAATCGACAAAATTTGCCGAATTTCATGCAGGAAACGAAGTCTGGAAGCTAAAATTAGACAATAACGTAAACTCAATAAATCCGGAAAGGTTCTATTTATTTGTTATAATAACAAATTACCGATCTGTTATTACAAATGTTAAAAAAAATTATTTTTCATTAAAAATTATCAAATTGTTAGAACACTATAAAACGTGTGTGTGGTGGGGGGGGGGCTGTTTTAAAGCATTTTTGACCGTTTTGTCGTGTAATCTGTATGTGGTTCTTCTTTTTAAGTTTGTTTCACGCCTTTTAGCTATTCTCCATATAATCATGATAATGGACGCAATTTTCACTACGTGGTGAAGTATAACAGTAACACATACTCAAAGGAAATCTTAAGAAGATGAAATTAGAGGTTGTCTGGCAAGGCTGAACTATTTCCAAGCGCGGATCCAGGATCTCATGCGCGCATCTAGAGGGTGGGAATTGGAGAGTTATTAAAAATATATGCTGAAGCAAATAAAAAATGCCCCCTCCCCCGAAAACGTGGACACCACCACCACCACGAAATAGGTTGAACGTTTCTTTCACGTTTGTGGGATGGATTTAACTTTTCTTTTTTTGCGTTTATTTGTGTTTTTTTTTTGTTTTGTTTTGTTTTGTTTTTTCTTTTTTGACTTGTCAAGAAATTTCTGGGTTGGAAATTTTTTGACTGGGATGGACTCACCCCCCCCCCCGGAAAAAAATTCTGGATCCGCGCCTGGATCTTGTGTTAGAGGGAGTGCTTTATTCGATGGCAAAGGTCGGGGTACCTTCGAGGTCCTTTATAATGGATAACTATTACAATGTATATAGCAAAACGTTTCTTTAGTATATGTACGAGGACAATGTCCCGCGGAGGTTCGGGAGCAAAGCCTCCGTAAGCTTCTGAGAATTGGCAAATAGTAGACCTTATTTTGACACATTTAAAAATGACTGCATTTTTACCTTTACTACATCGAAGTATGACGGTGAAACATTAAGACCGCGGAACATTAACTGGCAAAATTGGAAATATGCAGCTTACGTCATTTCCATTTGTCGCAGTCAAACACTTAATGATATACAATGAAATGGGCGGGTACAATTCGACACGGACGTCTGCGAAAACATTGGATTGAAATTGCAATTCGAAATTCATTTTCAATCCACCTGAGCTATTTTTCGCAAAGTTATTATGTATGATCGAAACTTCATATAATTTCAGTTCCCAAACATGTATAGTTTGAAATTAATGTATAACAATTTTCTATCCAATATTCTGAGGATACACAAAAGTTATAGTAGCTATATTCTGTTCTGCATTCTTTTAGGGGACGGCCATTTTTTTCTAGAAGAGGGGGGGGGGTGGCAAAATTTGTCGAATCAGATTGTTTATGGTTATGCCTCACATAAAAGACTATATTTATTATTAGGATGACAAAAGACATTATTTGTTTTCTTCTTCACTGAAAAAAATTGAAATTCAATTTCAATCCACCTGAGCTGTTTTCAAACCTTAAGTGTGAATGTATGATCCAAAAGACAAATAAATTCTATTCCCAAATACAAGTTGTTTGAAATTCATATTTATACGAGTTTTTTAGCCTATAATTTTTAGGACACGTCAAAGTCATAGAAGACAGAAAATATTTTTTTCAGGGGACGGCCATTTAATTCTAGAGGGGGGGGGGGTTGTCAAAAATTGTCGAGACAGATCATGCCTTCACATGAACAATATATTTAAAATTTCTGGGATGACTTGAGCTTTTATTTCTTAGTTTTTTCTTCTCTGAAAAATGTTTGACAAACAAAAACAGGGAGGGGTTGTCCAAACAAAAAGAAAACTGACTTTCTTATTAATTTCAGTTCAATATCGTTCAGCCCCCCTCCACCCCCAGCAAACACATACACATACCAAACAAAAATCAAATATTTGTCCCTTTATATTTCTTTAAAAACATGGGATAGAAAATACTGATTTATATATATATTTCAAATTATTTGTCTTCTGGTTCAATCAGTAATACCGTGCGTTCTAGCGTAGCTGAGGTGGATTGAAAATTAATTTAATTTCATACTAGAATTTCAATCCAATGTTTTCTCGGACGTCCGTGTCGAATTGTACCCGCCCATTTCATTGTCTATCATTAAATGTTTTGACTGTAACAGATGGAAATGACGTAAGCTGCATATTTCCAATTTTGTCAGTTAATGTTCAGCGGTCTTATCTGATATATATATATATATATATATATATATATATATATATATATATATATATATATATATATATATTATATATATGTGTGTGTGTGTGTGTGTGTGTATTTTTCTGTTTTATTGGGTCGGGCGCCGGGAGCGCCCCCGCCTGAATCCGCGACTGATTTGACATTCTAGTAAATTCTAGGTGTACATGTATATTTAGATAATGGTCCTACGCATTTTATTATCTCCAGGTGCTCTTAGATGGCAGAAGTTCTTTTTGTTCTCAGATCCTCTTCATTACATAATCAAGTGCAATTTCTTTTGATGTTCATTATATCAAAGTCGACAATACAATTAACACGCTTTTTTTATGCGTGCAAAAAGTGTTCAACTCTACACTGTACAATGCAATGTATTATATATTAATACACATAGAAATGTCGGTCTCTTCTGAGTCAAATGAAAGGCATGATTTGTTTTTATAACATTCATAAAAAATAGATAAATAATAAATAACTAAAATTATTTCTAATGGATATTTAATTAAAGTATAAAAATAGAAAAACGTTTCTTAATCTCACCAAAAACTGAATACAGTCTCAGGAAATAAAATACATATACATGTACTAATATCGGTGATCGTCTATTCTCAAAAACCCATAGTGGACTTAATGAAAACTAAAATATATTTTGATTATTTTCAAATTTGGAGGGTGTACATTAATTGTGTTAATACAAAATAATCTAGTCGTGATTTTTACAGCTAATTTGGAACAGCTGAAAGAGGGAGCATAGAACATTTTAAACAGCAAACAATTATTGTTAGACATCGAGATTTAAATGGGAGGATTACCCCCCTCTCTCTCTATGAGAGAGAGAGAGAGAGAGAGAGAGAGAGAGAGAGATGAGATGAGAGAGAGGTTACAATTAGCTACAATTTTTAATTTACGAGAGTATGTAGTCAGAAATCTTAATAGCTTGATGCTTGACCGAGTAACTCGAATGAGAGAATATTGTGGTATGTTCCGATTGTTATTTATATAGATGTGTTCAATTTGACATACATTCAGTTTCTGTTTATTTTTCTTTAATGCCGAAAGGATTTCTTTCTTCCATCATTTCAAGATGAAATCCTATATGTTTGCAAAATTTGACCACAGATTAATCTAACATGGAATGCGTTTAATTATGTATATATACTATCAAAACTTTAGGTGTTGTCACGGCTTGGATCTTCAAAATATATACATTAGATCACTTAATTTGAATACGATAGATATACAAAAATTGAATGAATGGAAAGATCGAGGAATATTAAAGACCCCTGTAAACCACAGGTGCTAATTTGCTGCCATTAAGTGTGTTTTAAAAAAACCTTATCGCTATAAAGAAACAGCGTCAATCACCACATCTATTTATATAGGTAAAATATACCGCCGATAAATCAACGGAGGCTGTAAGCACAACAGTGGCTTCTCTTTTTGAAGTATTGACGAGATTAGCTGCAGAAGGGGGAACCAGCTCGGGATTAAGATTAACAGGCCGGGGGAAAAGACAGATGTAATCCCTGGTGATTCTTCGATATCCTTTTTCTTTTTCAAGTACACAATTTTGGAGTGTAAAAATTCTCAGAAAACAGGTAAGAATTTGCGCAATTAAAAAAAAAGTTACTCTGAAGCAAGCCATGTAGTTAATCATGTAATTTAAGCAAATTGAGTATGTACATTGTTGTTCATGTATATGGGTTTATGGAACTGTAGCATGCAGTTTTCTTTTCTTGGCATTTCATGAAATCATGTCAAGACATCTTGGAAAATGTGAAACGTGTCTTATCAATATTCTGTGATCAGCCTTTAGGATAATTTAAATATCATAAAACAGCAACGATTAATTAAGTTTTTGGAGAGGACTTATACGGACAATGCCTGATGTCCCATCCATTTTTGTAAACAGGTCTGAATTAAAACAGGAAGTTTACTAGTATTATTAAAAAAAAAGGATATGTATACATTTGTATAGTATATGTGCAATCTGAAATGGAATTCTTTATTCTAATACAGTGCAATCAAATTTTGTGTTCAAAAACTTCGTTTGACAGTCACATTGTAAATTTCTCGTAGCTGAATTTGAAATTCTTAATTTGATTTTTAGATTTTTGTTAGCATGATGTCACACGTAAAATTCAACCTTATAATATGTTAGAGTTTTTCAAAGAGAAAAAAGAGAAAAGATCAATGCACTCTATAATTAATAACTCGTTATTGCTACAAGAGGAGACTAAATGAAAAAGTCATATTTCATCGATAAAAAAAAATCTATTATAGCAAATGCGCTGTGCAGCCGGAGGAAGCGGGCTACGCATCAATGTAGACATAACACACTGAATCAAAATATACGACAATACAGCTGGGTAACAAAGTTGTTGAATAATCATTGGAAATGCTGCATCTAACAGTCTGACAGTCTATCAACTTTTTAACGTTCTAACAGTAGTCTCTAATTTACCGGTCAATATCAAAATGTACTGCAGGTAGACATTATTCTCATATATGGCATATATTATACATGTATACATGTATATGTATTTTAGTCGTAGTTTTCTGAAAGACTGGGTAGGTTTCTTAGACAACCCTTCTAAGTCAACCCATATAATTATACTTTTAAATCAATATACTCATATACTGATTTAGATAGAGGACGCCTATGCCTTGGATTGGGAACATTGGACCCGGTAAGATTTGTTTGCATATACTTGGGATTTTTGTCCGAATC